CGGGGAGGGGCGGGGCGCCGGGCGGAGCAGAGTGCACCTTTATTGCCTGCGGTGCCACCCTCCTACGCCTCCACCGCTGTGCCTATCGCCGCCCCAGATCAAAAATATCGCTTTTGGACACACACTCACACACACACAAGCGCGTGCACGTTCGCTCGCAGAGCTGCGCCGTTCCCCCTGCGCCCCTCCCCCCTCAATGTTCCTTGCCTCCTCTCAATCATATTCCTGAATGCATTCCTATACCGTCGATATTACTGCAGAGAGAGAGAGAGAGAGAGAGAGAGAGAGAGAGAGAGAGAGAGAGAGAGAGAGAGAGATAAACGGCCGCTAAATCCTTCCCTCACGCGACGCGCTGGCCGCGGAGGGGAGCGGGGGATTAAAACGATCTACAAGCAAAAGAGGGACTGCGAGGGTCCTCCTGCTCCGAGCAAAGCTCACGCCGACTGCACCGCGCCGCGCATAAATTTTAAAATTTCACGAATCTCTGCAAAAAGAGGAGGTTATTATTTCTCCGCCGCCTTCGGGGTTCCCCCGGCTGGCTGCTCCCCCGCGGCTCCCGCTGATTCCGCGCCTAAAACGCACCGCGGGGAAACAAAGATTCAAACTTAATATGTAGAGGACGCCGCAGCGCTCCCCCTCCGGAGGCAAGGACCAGGGCCTACGCAGGCGGGGCGCCGCACCCTACCTGGTCCTCCTTCCCCTCCTGAAGGGCCCCGTCGAGAGGAGCATACCTAAGCTACTTGAGCATGCCCCGACCCTTGTAATAAACACTGGACGCCTGTGGGCCGGTGGGGGCGGCGGGGGTGGCGTGGGCCGCCGGGGCTTACATCCGAGCCTCCTCCGCCTCCTGCTGCCGCGGGCCAATGCCAGTGGCAAACTCCCCGGCACGTGCAAGCAGCAGAGACAGGCAAAAAAAGCGAGATTTACAAATAAATAAAATATCTGAAAGAATGACGCACAAACAAACAACAAAAAGGGTGTTTTGCGGTGTTTTGCAATCCACTGAGTCATGCACCGAAAATGCAAGTGTACGAATTTCGCATACCTGCAAGCGAGTGAGTACAAAACTTCACACGAATTTTCACACTGATATGCAGAGTGTGAATGTGTGAATGGCTATGCACACACTTGAGGCTAGTTAAAATGTACCCGGTAAATGGCTACCTTGAAGTGCGGACAAACATCTCTTTCGCTTACATACCAGTGTGAATAATATTTTGTCGCACGCTTGCAAGTGTGTGATGTTTTTCGCTTACAGGTGAGCGACATTCGTACACTTGGATTTCCAGTGTTAAGTTTTCTGAGCAAGGCGGTCCACGGGCCCACGGCTGTAGGCAACCCGCCTGCACGCA